GCGCTCAATTGCCCGCGGACTCGTCTGGGATCTCGAAGTGCGGATTAACCGGAGGGCCGACGGTGTCCTACGGCTCCCCGCCCTGTAGTGCGCTTTTATTGGTGTCCTGACGGTGTTATTGGGGACTTGGGGACTTCGGGATTCCGGATGGAGGTAGAGAGAGGAAGAGCCTGTTGAGCCTGTTGTTCCTTGTGCGTGAGATGCTGGGAAGAGGTGTTCTGGATGGACGAGGTTCTCGGGGAAGGGTTCCTGACTGGGGGTTCGAGTGGGGGGGTTCTAGGATGTCCGTGCGCCCGACGGGAGGCGCAGGAGTCGTGTTTGGTTCAGGGGGGCGTTGCATGCACTCGCGAGACAGGCCGCGCGGAGGTCGTGGAGAGGGTATCCTGTACGCGAAGCTTGGAGTAGGGAAATGAAGGAGTTGAAGCCGTTGGGGGTCGGGTTTCGCGGCAGGGGTGAGAGGGCGGGCGTCTCGAGTGAAGTGGGCGGAGGAGAGGACGAGGGCGGGCTGAGGGCGGCGTGGAGAGAGAGGGGGACGTGTAGTAGCAGCGTCGTGTCCGAGGCGAGTCCGGACATGAGGTTGCATTTCGGTTTTCTGTTTTGTCATTTCTGCAGCGAAGCGGGCGAGTGGAGCCGGAATGGTGGGTTACGGTCGGCTTGTTAAAATTGCGCGAGGTCCGACCCGGTGAATATTCATTATACGGACTTATACACAGAAATACATGCATATCTGTCAGCCTCGACATACATATACACAGAAATAGATATACGTCTGTCAGTCTAGACATGCATATCTATTGAACAGATCGATGGATAAATGTATATCTAACAGGAAGATAGACAGATGTGCATTTACTTCTGTGTACATGCATGTTCGTATATGTGAATATTAATTGGGCCTCGCACAATTTAAAGCAACTGGCTGTTAGTGTAGAGTCCATTGGATGCTTGTCATATGCTTGTCACCTTGACAGAGAAACAGGAAGGGAAGAATCGTCATTGTTTGGGATGGCAGAGTCTGTTGTAGAAGCGGGGACGTCGGGGTTGTATTACAAAAGCGAGTTGTTGTAGGCGGGTTGTAGAGGCTTGTAGAGGCTGGAGGGTTCGGCGTGGAGGGGAGGCGCGAACGGTGCCAAGTAACAAGGAAGGAAGGAAGGAAGCATTTGGTGCCAGGCTCTGTGCCAGGCTCGCAGGGGTCAAGGTCGAGGGAGATCGCCGCCCGTTGACCGCTCCCGCAGCTTTCTCTCCTCGCTGTTCGCCGCTGCTCTCTCTTTCTCCCCCTTTCGTTCTTTTCCCTCCTCTCTCTTCTATCTTATTCTTTTCCCTCTTTCTCTTCTCTCTTAGTCTTTTCCCTCTTTCTCTTCTCCCTTTTTCTTTTCCCCTTTTCTTTGCCCTCTGTCTCTTTTCCCCTTTTCTTTGCCCTCTGTCTCTTCTCCTTTTTTCCCATTCTGTCTCTTTTCGCCCTCCCTTCCTCTTTATTTTTTCCATTTTTTATTTTCCCATTCTCCCTTCCCCTTTTTTCATTTTCCCTGTTGTCTCTTTCTTTCTCTTCCCCGCATCTCTTACTCCTTCTCCCTCCTCTCCTCACTTCCTACCCTCTCCTTTCGTCCTCTCCCCATCTTTCCTCCTCTCCTCCCCGGCTTCCCTCTTTTCCTCTCCCCTCCTCTCCTATCCTCCCCATCTCCCTCTCTCCTCCCCACCTTCTTTCTTCTCCTCTCCTTCCGCTCCTCTCCTCCCCACCTTCCTTCTTCTCCTCGTCCTCTCCTTCCCACCTTCTTTCTTCTCCTCTCCTTCCCTTCCTCTCCTCCCAACCTTCCTCCTTCTCCTCACCCCTCCTCCCCTCCTCTCCTTCCCCTCCTCTGATCCCCACCTTCCTTCTTCTCGTCCTCTCCTCCCAACCTTCCTCCTCCTCCTCTCCTCCCCACCTTCCTTCTTCCTCTTCTCCTCCTCCTCTCCTCCCCAGCTTCCTTCTTCTCTCTCCTTCCCTCTTCTCTTCCCCATCTTCCTCCCTCGTCCCCTCCTCTCCTCCCCACCCACTCACTTGGGGGTATTGTTTGCCGTCCCCGCGCGTGTCTGCTCTGTGACATATTGAGCCGCGAATCGTAGCGCTGGTTGGTTGCATGTCCTCGCTGTGCACGGTGCTGCTTGCGAGGCGCGGAAGGAGGCGGGCCAGGTGGTGGGGACGGGTGGGGTGTCAGATGGGGGCAGATGGGGGTCGTTGGCTTTTGTTGCGGTCTTGTAGGTGTGGTTGGGGAGGAGGATTTTTTTTTTTTTTTTTTTTTTTTTTTTTATTTTGGGGAGGGGGTAGAGGGTGGCTTGTTTGTTTGATTGGGTTTCTTTTTTTTTGTTAGATTTTTTTCGTTCTTTTTCTCTTCGTTTCTCTTCTTATGTTTTTGCTTCTTTTGTTTTCTTTTTTTTCTGTTGTCTTCTCTCTCTCTCTCTCTCTCTCTCTCTCTCTCTCTCTCTCTCTCTCTTCTCTCTCTCTCTCTCTCTCTCCTCTCTCTCTCTCTCTCTCTCTCTCTCTCTCCCTCTCTTCTCTCTCCTCTCTCCCTCTCTCCTCTCTCCTCTCTCCTCTCTCCCTCTCTCCCTCCTCTCTCCTCCCTCCCCTCCCTCCCTCCCTCCCTCCCTCTCCTCCCTCCCTTCCCTCTCCCTCCCCTCCTCTCCCTCCTTCCTTCCCTCCCCTCTCCCTCCTTCTTTCTTCATCTCGTGGTGTTGAGCCAAGGATCCCCACCGCCGTCGGGATCGTCCTTATATCAGCTTCGTCCCGACCGCTACACGCACTAGAACAACAACATCAGTCGGGGAGCGAGCCGATGAGGGAGGGTTGGGATGGGGGAAGAGGGGGGGAGGAAAGGGAGAACGGGGGGGGGGACGGGGAGGGGAGGAAGGGAGAGGGGGAGGGGGACGGGGAGGAAGGGGGAAGGGAGAAGGGGAGAGGGGGACGGGGAGGAAGGGGACGAGGGAGAATGGGAGGAGGGGGAAGAAGGGAGAAGGGAAGGGTGGGGGGGGAGGGGTTAGGTGGTGATAACGCGGATTTTATGTCGTTTGCGATAACACGCTTTCTTCGGTTTCTTTTTTTTTCGTTTTCTTCTTTTTTTATTATTTGTTTATTTTTTTACGAGCGGCGCACTCCCATGCTCCCCGAGGAAGGACAAGGGAGCCACAGGTTGGTCGATGGTTGATGCGTTTTGCAAGGGTGTGAAGGGAGGGAGGGAGGGAGGGAGGGATTGAGGCAAGAAGGGAGAGAGGGAGGGAAGGGAGGGAGAGAGGGGCTGAGTTAAGAAAGAAAGGAAGGGAGAGAGGGAAGGACTGAGGTGAGAAGGAAGGAAGAGAGGGAGGGAGGGACTGAGGAAAGAAGGGAGAGAGGGAGGGACTGAGGTAAGAAGGAAGGATGGAAAAAAGGAAGGGAGGGAGTGAGGGAGAGGAGGTAAGGAGGGAGACAGGGAGGGTCTGAGATGAAAAGGAAGGGAGAGAGGGAGGGAGGGAGGGACTGAGATGAAAAAGGAAGGGAGACAGGGAGGGACTGAGAGAGGGAGGAAGGGAAGGTGTGGAAGCAAGCCTACGGGGGGGGGGGGGGAGTGTATTGCTTGGAGGCGCGTCGGCTGCTGCTGCTGTTCTCTGACTTGTTCAAGCGCGAAATGGAGAACGAACGAAGGCGAGAGAGAGAGAGAGAGAGAGGAGAGGAAGGGAGAGAGATGGGGGCGAATAGACAAGAGGTGGGGTTGGGGAGGAGAGAGAGGAGAAGAGGGGGGGGGGCAAACAGCGAAGTGGTGGGTATGGGAGAGAGGGAGAGGAGAAGAAAGGGAGAGAGAGGGGGAGGGGATAGGAGAGAGAGAAAGAAAGAGACAGAGGAAGAGTAAGAAAGAGAGTGAGAGCGGGGATGGGGGAGAGAAAGAAAGGGTGGGAGGGAGGGACAGACCGAGAGGTGATGGGAGGAGAGAAGTGAATAGAAGGAGAAAGAGGAATTAACCAAGGAGGTGGGAATGGGGCCGAGAGAAAGGAGGAGAATGAGAGAGGCAGAAGCAGAGCGAGGCTGTGTCCCTGCCATCCGGTTGCATCCATATAGATGCCAGGTTAATGCGGTTCATGTTGTGGTTACTGTGGCGTCCGACGTGGAACACTCAACCGGTGATCCTGTACTGCTTCCCTGCGACCTTGAGGCGGCCCCGGTAAGTGTGTCTCGGCCGCGACCCTCGGCGCCGACCACCCACAAGTGCCGGGCTCGCGACGACACGCGGCGGCCGTGAATGCACCGGCGAATCGCCGGGCCTGGGATTCGTTCTCGCTGCCTCCTCGCGCGGGCGGCGGGCGGGCGGGCGGGGCGGGCGCAGCATCCTAAAGCAGACGTGCTGGAGAGGAGCGTGTTGTCTGCGCTGCTGCTGCTGCCGCTGCGTGGGGCCGGCCGGCAACCTTTGCACGCACACGCACACGCACACGCACACGCACGCACACAAACACCGTCGCACCACCGCCGGCCCTTAGAGCAGTGCCGCCCTTGCGCCCTTTTCACGGCAGTGCCAGCATCACGGGGTGACTCTCCTCCGTTTCGCCATTGTGGCACTCTCCGCGGCTCGCGTGGCACTGCCGGCTGACTTCCCCGCTGATTTTTAGAGCCAAGTTCGCAGGTTGTGCCGCCTTCCTGGACGCCCGGCACTCGTATGCGCTGGTTCGCTCATTGCGGCGCGGTGTCAGATATTGCATTCTTTTCGAGGTCGAGTATTGACATGTTGAGGTCACGGTGCCACACATGCGCGCCCACGAGGCACCCTCTGGCTCTGGCTTTCTATTCCCTCTTTCTTCTTCCGTGTTTTCTTTTCTCCCTTTTCTGCCGCTTTTCTCCCTGTCCCTTTGTCTCCGCTGACTTATCGCCATGTATTCCTTTATTTCGTTCTGTCTCCTCGTCCTCCTCGCTCCTTTTTCTTGCTTCGTCTTCCATTCCTCTTCCCTCTTCTTCTTCTCCTCCTCCTCCTCCTCTTCTTCTTCTTCTTCTCCTCCTCCTCCTCTCCTCCTCCTCCTCCTCTTCCTCCTCTCCTCCTTCCTCCTCCTCTCCTCCTCTCCTCCTCCTCCTCCTCCTCCCGCCCCCTCCCCCTCCCTCCTCCTCGCTCCTCCTCCTCCCCCTCCCTCCTCCTCCTCCCCACCCCCTCTCCATCTCTCTCTCTCTCTCTCTCTCTCTCTCTCTCTTCTCTTCTCATCTCTCTCTTCGTCTCTCTCTCTCTTCTCTCTCCTCTCTCTCTCTCTCTCTCTCTCTCTCTCTCTCTCTCTCTCTTCTCTCTCTCTCTCCCTCTCTCTTCTCTCCTCTCTCTCTCTCTCTCTCTCTCCTCTCTCTCTTCTCTCTCTCTCTTCTCTCTCTCTCATCTCTCTCCTCTCTCTCTCTCTCTTCTCTCTCTCTCTCTCTCTCTCTCTCTCGTTCCTCTATCTCTCCTTCTCTCTCTTCTTTCTCTCTCCTCTTCTCTCTCTCTCTCCCTCTATCTCTATCTCTCTCTCTATCTCTCTCTCTCTCTCTCTTCTCTCTCTATCTCTCTCTCTCTATCTCTCTCTCTCGCTCTCTCTCTCTATCTCTCTCTCTCTCTCCTTCTCTCTTTCTGTCTCTCTATCTCTCTCTGTCTATCCTCCTCTCTCTCTCTCCTCTCATCTCTCTATCTCTTCTCTCTCTCTCCTCTCTCTATCTATCTATTCTCTATCTTCTATTCTTCCTCCTATTCCTCTCTCATCTCCACTTTCTCTGTTTCTCTGTCTCCTCTTTTTTTCTTCTTTTCACTTTTTCTCCCCCTTGACCCCTTTCTTCCCCGCATCCGTTAACCTACTTACGTCAGGCATCATGCAGAGGGACGAGCGATAAACTGCAGTGAGGGAAAGGAAAGGATATTGTTGTTGTATTTTCCTCCTCTCTGATAACGGCAAAGGACCCAAAAATAGTGTGGTTCCCGTGAGAAGTCTAAGGTGGTGCACACCCCCGTTTCACTTCTCAAAATCCGTTGTTGTTGCGTCAATGTTTTGCATATCCATAAATATCTTCCCTCGACCGCTTACCTGATATAACTGTCACTTTATCTCTACCAGTTGTAGGTATAAGGCGAATATCAGGGCGCAACATAACACGGGGTAGGACGTCACTGTGGAGGGGGGGGGGGGGAGAGAGTGGGGGTTTTCTCCGCCACTCGATGGGGAGTTATTCCGGCCTGGATGAGCTGTGCGTTCGTTGCTTGGTTAAGGAGAGTGTGCGGTGGCGTTGTTCTCGTCTTGCAATCTTGCTGACCCGCGTTCAGATCCCGCATGGCCAGTGGATGGTAACCCCGGCCGTTCCTTGCACGCGGGGGGTGATTTAGGAGCAAGTGGAAAGAATGATTGCGTAACAAATGGAATTGAAGGATTATTATTCATTGAATTATCTCCGAAATAGAAGAGATGTTGGATCTTTCCGAATGGTCGAGCGGAGTCTGTTCTGGCTCTATGGAGGATGGTCTTGGTGAGGATTTTGGTTTCGTGGAAGATGTTTGTTTACACTCCTCTGGCGGGGCTGTTGAAGGGGCAGGGTTTGTTTGCGAGGATTCTGCAACAGCTGGGAGGTATTGCGTAAACTTTTGCTTTTTTTTTTAGGACATACCGCGGGTCGCAGAATGTTTACTGGTGTATGATAAACTGGGTGGAATATTCTCCCGAGTTACGTTGGCCTTTATGAAAGATGTATGTTGGGCGATGTTTTGTTATGAGGTGTCCGTCGTGGCAGGCATGTTTTTACCGTTCGCCGACTTGTTTTTTATTCTGTTGGGTATTGTTATTGACGAGTTGTTGATTCTGCTATGTGATCGATTCGACGAGTCCCCCCTGCGAGAGGTAGGAAAGATACACGTTTGTTTATTCCCCCGAAAAGAGAGAAATACCCGGATGGATTATTTTTACAGCACTGTTAAGGCTTAGCTGGTCGACTTGTGAATAAACAACGTAAATACAGCCTTGCTCTGTAAAGGAGTAACGTTATTGCTGTTGATGTTTCTGTGGTTTGCAGTGCATGAGGTGATGAGTTATTTTTGGGAGGCACCGAGTATGAGTCATGTTGGTTGGATGATAACGTGCATATTAGAGGGCTATTTGTGTGGTATCTGCTGACATAAACCTTAAAAGTGTGTGTGTAGGCCTGTGTAGCTTTCTTGGGCGATCCAGGGTTGAAGGCCTACCTGTTGCTTCTACCTCCGCTGGGTTATGTGAATGGCCGTATTGAAACCTTTGGAAAGAGAAATGTCTATTGGTCCGGTTCACTAAAATGCTCGTATGGCTTCGGGTTCGGTCTGCGCCGGTTCCGGATTTTGTCGGATTATAACTCCTTCTGTATTTCGTGCTGAGGTTTGCTTTGGGGGATTCTTAGAGGACGTATTGCGGGGTTTGATGCGCTGTTAGGAGGAGGTGGTAAGAGATACTGTAGGCCTATTGATTTAGGTCTATATGGTAGGCAGAAGTAGAAGAAGGCTTAGAGGACGGGCGAGGTTTGCGCTGTTAGAAGGAGGTGGTAAGGGAGAGAGGGTTATTGACCTATATGGCAGGCAGAAGGAAGGCGTTTTACGTATTTTTCCGAGGGATTCAGTCGGTTCGTCGGGTCGTGTTGCAGGGTTACAGGGCCGGGGAATTGCTTTCTCTGTTCGTTGAACAATTTGCTTCAATTGCTTCGTAGAAAAACATGGCTGATCCGTTCCTTAGAAGAAGAAGAAAAGGGAAAAAAAAAAACAGTTAGCCTGCAAGATGGCGTTGGCTCTGTTGACTGGTGTCTGATGATGTTTGCTAAATTCATGATGAATATTTTCCTTGAAAGTGCCTTCTGCAGGGAGATTTTTATGTCAACGCTTGGTGGAGAGAGAGAGAAAAAAAAGGCCCAGCTAATTAACATGGTTTATTCCTATGGGGAGGAGGAGGAGGAGGAGAAGAAGGAGGAGACAGACAGAGACAGAGAAAAAGGATTGGGGAAAAGAGACAAACAAGTCATTTTCCATTTATCTATTATCTATCTGTTCCTATTCTCCTTTTCCACCGAGGGCATTCGCTTTATCCGTACGCGATTCACGGCATGGTGGCTATACCGGACCCTCTTGTTGTCCAATCGGTTATTATGCTTGTATTCATGCTCATGTTTATTTTATGTATCTAGGCTTATGCTTCTTTTTAGTATGTACTCGTTAGTGGGATATTGCGTCCCAGTGAGGGTGGCGACGAGGAAGGTGGGGTGGTGAGAGGGAAATGGAGAGGGAGAGGGAGAGGGAGAGGGAGGGAGGAGGGAGGAGGGGAGGGGGAGGGGGAGAGAGAGACAGGAGAGAGGAGGATGTAGTGTGTGTGTGTGTGTGGGAGAGAGAAGAGAGAGAGAGAGAGAGAAAGAAGAGAGGAGAGAGAGAAGAGAGAGAGAGAGAGAGAGAGAGAGAGAGAGAGAGAGAGAGAGAGAGAGAGAGAGACAGAGAGAGAGAGGAAAGAGAAAGAAAGAGAAAGAGAAGAGAGAGAGACTAGAGCCTGCTGTAGTTGCAAGCGCCCCAGCGCAGGGACGCGCGGTGATAACACCTCTTGAGCGCCCGTGACTCGCCGAAAAGTGCGGACGACACATTTTGATGTCGTGGTTCTTCAAAGGAGAGAGAGAGAGGAGAGAGAGGAGGGGATTAGGCTGACCTTGGCCACGCGAAGGACGCGGATTCATCCAGATATAACTTCAAAAAATCCACTCACGGGAGCTAGCGTTTATTATTATTATATATTTTTTTTCATTTTATTATTATTGTGTTTTTTTTACTTCTTTTTTAAAGAAAGGAAGTGAGTAGCATTTTTTTTAGGGATATCATTACTATGTCATCTTCTATGTTCTTATTCGTGTGTATTTTTTTCTGCTGTCATATACGGAATGCGATGTGTGAATGGTTGTTGAAATGCAGACTCGGGGAAGCCCGGTGTGTTCTCTCCAGTGAGTTGGCGATAATTACCCCTGTTATTGATCCCCTGGTGTGGAGGGGTAGGGAGAGGGGGGGAGGAGGATTAGGAAGGGAGGGGATGAGTTGGAGGATGGGGAGAGGGTGAAGGAAGGGGAGAGGGAGAGGGAGGGAGGGAGAGGAAGAGAGGAAAGGGGGAAAGGAAAGGGAAGAGAGGGGAAGGGTGAAGGGAAGGGAAAGAGAAGGGAAGAGGGAAAGGGCTAAAGGGAAGGGGAAGGGAGGGGAAAGCGTGCAAGGGGCCCCTCTCTCTCTCCTGCCGGGACGACCTCTCTCCCCTCTCTCTCCTCCTGCGTCAGGTGAAAGCCTCGCCCTTCCCCGTCCCGGTGGCTGAAGGATGGGCAGCCGCCCGCGCCCGTGGGAAGAGCCGGGCACGTCTTCCAGGATGAGCTGTCGTGTGGGAAGTCCTTCAAGAGAGAGGTTTCAATCCTTAACTCGACTGTGTGAAGTATATTGATAGATGGAAGAGGATGGGTGCGTTTCAGTGGAGTGGGAGAGGAGGCCAGGACGGAGGAGGAGGAGGAGGAAGGAGAAGGAGAAGGAGAAGGGAAGAGAAGAAGAAGAAAGGAGGATATGCAAAGGTTAACAGGGGAGAAGGATAAAGGCAAGGGATAGAAGGGGAGGGAGTGGGAAGGGGAGTGGCAGGACACAGGCAGACCCTTGGAAAGAATGAAAGCGAGAAAAAGTGAGTCTGGAACTTGCCTTAGCTTGCCCCAACTTGCCCGGAATTTTTATGGTGCGCTTCCCACCAAGCATCGTCGGTTCTGACCATATATTTATAATTCATATGTACGAATGTTATTGTAAAAAACGCCCCAAAATACCAGTCTCGATGCAGGGCCGAAAGGTGAAAAGTCGCCAAGAAGTGAGGCAGGTCTCATGCAACTTTTCCTTGACTGCAGCGAAGGTCTGGGGTTGCGAGGGGAGGGGGAGGGGGAAAGGGGTTGGGGTGAAGCTGTCTGTGGCACCGATCACCCCCTTCCCCCCCCCCCCCTCCCTCCCCTGCAGATCAGCTTTCGGTTACGTCTCGGCTGCATTGACAGGACAGCCGCGTCGCCCCGAGAGTGAAGGATGCGGAGGATGCAGCTTCTCTCCCTCTCGAAGTCAGCTGTTAGAAATGCTGTTTGAGGAGGAAATCAGCTGTTAGAAATGCTGTTTGAGGAGGAAATCAGCTGTTAGAAATGCTGTTTGAGGAGGAAATCAGCTGTTAGAAATGCTGTTTGAGGAGGAAATCAGCTGTTAGAAATGCTGTTTGAGGAGGAAGTCAGCTGTTAGAAATGCTGTTTCAGCTGTTAAAATGCTGTTTGAGAGGAAATCAGCTGTTAGAAATCTGTTTGAGGAGGAAGTCAGCTTAGAAATGCTGTTTGAGGAGGAAGCCAGCTGTTAGAAATGCTGTTTGAGGAGGAAGTCAGCTGTTAGAAATGCTGTTTGAGGAGGAAGCCAGCTGTTAGAAATGCTGTTTGAGAGGAAGTCCTGTTAGAAATGCTGTTTTGGAAGTCAGCTGTTAGAAATGCTGTTTGAGGAGGAAGTCAGCTGTTAGAAATGCTGTTTGAGGAGGAAGTCAGCTGTTAGAAATGCTGTTTGAGGAGGAAGTCAGCCAGCTGTTAGAAATGCTGTTTGAGGAGGAAGCTGTTTGAGGAGGAAGCTGTTAGAAATGCTGTTTGAGGAGGAAGCCAGCTTTAGAAATCTGTTTTCAGCTGTTGCTGTTGAGGAGGAAATCAGCTGTTAGAATGGAGGAGGAAGTCAGCTGTTAGAAATGCTTTTGAGAGGAATTAGAGCTGTTGAGGAGAAATCAGCTGTTAGAAAATGCTGTTGAGGAGGAAGTCAGCTGTTAGAAATGCTGTTTGAGGAGGAAATCAGCTGTTAGAAATGCTGTTTGAGGAGGAAGTCAGCTGTTAGAAATGCTGTTTGAGGAGGAAGTCAGCTGTTAGAAATGCTGTTTTTAGAGCTGTTGAGGAGGAAGTCAGCTGTTAGAAAGCAGCTGTTTGAGGAGGAAGTCAGCTGTTAGAAATGCTGTTTGAGGAGGAAGTCAGCTGTTAGAATGCTGTTTGGGAAGAGCTGTTGAAAATGCTGTTTGAGGAGGAAGTCAGCTGTTAGAAATGCTGTTTTGAGGAGAAGTCAGCTGTTAGTGTAGAGAGGAAATCAGCTGTTAGAAATGCTGTTTGAGGAGGAAGTCAGCTGTTAGAAATGCTGTTTGAGGAGGAATCAGCTGTTAGAATGCTTGAGGTCAGCTGTTAGGAAGTCACTCTGTTTGAGCAGCTGTTAGAAATGCTGTTTGAGGAGGAAGTCAGCTGTTAGAAATGCTGTTTGAGGAGGAAATCAGCTGTTAGAAATGCTGTTTGAGGAGGAAGTCAGCTGTTAGAAGAGCTGTTTGAGGAGGAAGTCAGCTGTTAGAAATGCTGTTTGAGGAGGAAGTCAGCTGTTTAGAAATGCTGTTTGAGGAGGAAGTCAGCTGTTAGAAATGCTGTTTGAGGAGGAAGTCAGCTGTTAGAAAGCTGTTTGAGGAGGTTTGCTGTTTAGAGGAAATCAGCTGTTAGAAATGCTGTTTGAGTGTTTGAGGAGGAGTCAGCTGTTAGAATGCTAGTTCAGCTGTTAGAAATGCTGTTGAAGTCAGCTGTTAAAATGCTGTTTGAGGAGAAATCAGCTGTTAGAAATGCTGTTTGAGGAGGAAGTCAGCTGTTTAGATGCTGTTTGAGGAGGAAGTCAGTGTTAGAAATGCTGTTTGAGGAGAAAAGCCAGCTGTTAAGCTGTGTTTGAGGAGGAAAAGTCAGCTGTTAGAAATTTGAGGAGGAAATCACTGTTAGAAATGCTGAGGAGGAGCTGTTAGAAATCTTTTGAGGAGGAATCAGCTGTTAGAAATGCTGTTTGAGGAGGAAGTCAGCTGTTAGAAATGCTGTTTGAGGGAGGAAGTCAGCTGTTAGAAATGCTGTTTGAGGAGGAAATCAGCTGTTAGAAATGCTGTTTGAGGAGGAAGTCAGCTGTTAGAAATGCTGTTTGAGGAGGAAGTCAGCTGTTAGAAATGCTGTTTGAGAGGAAGAGCTGTTTAGAATGCTGTTTGAGGAGGAAGTCAGCTGTTTAGAAATGCTGTTGAGGAGGAAGTCAGCTGTTAGAAATGCTTTTGAGGAGGAAATCAGCTGTTAGAAATCTGTTTGAGGAGGAATCAGCTGTTAGAAAAGCTGTTTGAGGAGGAAAGCTGTTAGAAATGCTGCTTTGAGGAGGAAATCAGCTGTTAGCTGTTAGAGGAAGTCAGCTTAGTTTGAGGAGGAAGTCAGCTGTTAGAAATGCTGTTGAGGAGGAAATCAGCTGTTAGAAAAGCTTTTGAGGAGAAGTCAGCTGTTAGAAATGCTGTTTGAGGAGGAAGTCAGCTGTTAGAAATGCTGTTTGAGGAGGAAATCAGCTGTTAGAAATGCTGTTTGAGGAGGAAGTCAGCTGTTAGAAATGCTGTTTGAGGAGGAAATGTTTGCAGGAGGAAGTCAGCTGTTAGAAATGCTGTTTGAGAGGAAGCAGCTGTAGAAATGCTGTTTGAGGAGGAAATCAGCTGTTACAAATGCTGCTGAGGAGGGAAACAGCTGTTAGAAAATGCTGTTGAGAGGTCAGCTGTTTAGAAATGCTGTTTGAGGGAAGCTAGAAATGCTGTTTGAGGAGGAAGCCAGCTGTTAAAATGCTGTTTAGGAAGGGGTAGAGGGGGAGGGTCGGTTTGCTGCTGCGGAGGTGGGGGTTGGAGGTAGGGGGTAGGGGAGCCATATCTGCTATTCAGTATGGCTCCGTGTAGGGTGTAGCAGGAACGGGGTATTTCGACACCCTGCATTGGACGTGGCGCTTGCGGGGGTTTCGTTGTCCGCTGGGGAGTGTTTTGGGCATTTTGGGCATTTTGTGGCATCGTCGGTGTTTATGGGGCATCAGGGTAGTCCTTCTGGGGTATGGGAGTCGGTCAGTGGAATGAATTGCCTTTTAGTGAAGTTGGCAAAGAGACAAGGTAGTTAATAGTTAATGGAATAGTAGGAGACTCGATAGGGTGAAGGCGAGGAGGAGGAAGGGAGGGGGTGGGGTAGAAGTGCCCGCGCCGGAGGTCACTCGTCTCTGTGCCCTTAGGAACACCCGTCT